ACTGACTTAAGGACAGAGCTGTGCAAACCTCCCGGCTTGATCTGATTGCAGATCCCACACACAGAACGAGGACTGCCCTGGAGAGCAGCACAAGCTTCCTTCTCAAAGCCCCAGTCCTTCCTTCCAGACTCAGCCCTGATCCCTTCTCCGAGAAGCCTTCCTGGATTTCATTATCTTTCCTCCCATCCTTCCATTTGTTCAGCTAACACCCACTGGGCACCTATGGAACCAAGAGGGAGGTGCTGGGGCCACAAAGATAATGTGACAGCCCTGCCTTTGAGGAGCCCACAGTCCAAAGGGGAAGCAAACATCTGAAGTTAGAGAATCGCAGTTGTCAAAATGGACACTACAGGGCTGATGGAACAGACTCTGGGTGGAAGAACAAGCCCAGCAAGATTGGATAAGCTTTAATCTTCACGTCTCACACTAGAGCAGACTTCGACTCTAGCTAAGCACTTCCAGATATTTTGAAAGGGGCATTTCCTTCTCCCAGGAAGTTGGTGAGTTGGGCAAGGCAGTCATAATCATATTCCTCTTACTAATGGGGAAACCGAGGCTTGGAGAATTTCAATGACTTGCTCCAGACCACCAGGCCCACAGTGACAATGCCAGGATGTGAGCTCAGAGCTTCAGATCCCAGGCCTACAGCTCTTGTCAAGATATGGGGCTCCCTCTTTCTGGAGTATTCCACCAGGTCATGCTCAGAGTGGAGCACGGGTCCTACCTTGACAAGGGAGGCCAGCATTTAGAAATCTCAGCTCCTGGTTCTATTCCTTTATTCCTAGGTCTCTGTGCTTCTCCTGCTCTCTCCCCCTTTCCTCCCTCTCTCCCTTTAACCCTCAAAGGTCCCAAGGGAGCCAGCAGCCCCATACCTTAGCAACAGGCCTCATCTACTGCCTTGGGATCCAACCCTGTATGCCCCCCAATCACCTGGGTTTCTTACTTTTAGATTCTGGCTCAGCAGGCCTCAGTGGACCTGGAATTCTGCACTTTTTTTTTTTTTTTTTTGAGACAGAGCCTTAAGCTGTCCCCCTGGGTAGAGTGCCGTGGCATCACAGCTCACAGCAACCTCCAACTCCTGGGCTCAAGCAAGTCTCTTGCCTCTGCCTCCCAAGTAGCTGGGACCACAGGTGCCCGCCACAACACCTGGCTATTTTTTGGTTGCAGCTGTCATTGTTGTTTGGCAGGCCCAGGCTGGATTCAAACCCACCACCTTAGGTGTATGTGGCTGGCACCTTAGCCACTTGAGCCACAGGCACTGAGCCAAATTCTGCACTTCTAACAAAGTAGGTGGATGCTGCTGGTCCAAGGACCACTCTTTGGAGAGTAATGGTATAAGATTGCTCTGAACACCACCCTGCCTGAACTGTGGCTCTCTGGGTCTCTTTCTCCTGCTGCTTCTCTCTCCTGAGTCTCCGTTGATTGGCTTTGTCTCTGAGGCACCAAGAAAGGCTCAGGTAGCTGGTGGGAGGCCTGGATGATGGAGCACAGTGGGACTCCTCCCCATCCCAAAGGGGTCCTGGGAGCCACAGTCATGTTTAGAGGGGTTGAGAAGCCTTCACCCACTGCCCGCCCCTCCTGTCCTCGGGCCTGCAGCCTCACCAGCCTGGCCTCCAGGGCAGGTCCTGGGAACTGGGGCAGGGGAGGGGGCTCACCTTTCTTCTCCTGCAGCCCTTATTGAAATTTTGCCCTTGCACAAGAATCCTTGGTCGAGAGCTCATCCCTATTAATTCTCGTTGTGCATTTAGAGCCAATAGGTTTTTATTTATTCATTTATCTTGTCTTTCATCCTCCTCCCCTTCCTCACCAGGCTGGAATTTACAATTCAGTTCTCCTGCGGCCTTGCCAAAGGACAGGAAGCCTGGGAGAGAGAGGGTCTGCCCCTCAATCTGAACAGGTTGTCCACCCCTCAGCTCCTCTGGTACTTTGGGAGTACTCCAGGGCTCATGTTCCAGTGGGCTGGATGATGAGACAGGCCCAGCACCTGCCACAGGAGGGACAAAAGGGAGCAGAAACCTGCTGGGTGACTACATGGCTAAGGGGGCAGCCGGCCATCTAGCTGCCATTGGTGCGCCCCCTGGTGGCAGGTCAATGCCACCTGCCATGCGGCAGGAGCTGCAGTCTCCCTCCACCTGCTGCCCAGAGGCTCCAAACACAAGACGTGGCGTCCTCAAGGCTCGAGAGAAGCAAAGAGAAGCCTCGAAAGCACCGCGGGAGGGAGTAGTAACAACAGGCATAAGCCAATAATGATTCTACTGCTTGTTGAGTACTTCCTATGTGCCAGCGTGCACCCAGGGCATGCGCAGGTGGCCGGCACCGGCCGCCAGCACCAGGACGCTGGGGCAGGATTTTCTCTATTCGACAGAGGAAGAAACTAAAGGCTGGGGAGGTCAGAAGCTTGAGGGGAGGCTGCGCCGCCTGGTGGATAGGCCCTGGCCGCAGACAAGTTCCCGGCCTGCCTTCTAGACTGGGTGACCTTGGCAGGATTTAGGCACCCCTTTCTAATCCCTAAAATGGGATTAGATTAGGACCCACCTTAGAGCACACCCAGGATACGCCTAGGGGAAGTGGCAATAAATGGTGGCATCAGGGTTAGAATCCAGATCTATCTGGAAGTGATCCCCCCACAAAAGCCAGCCCCCCAAAAGGCTGCCCCCCACCTGCCAAGACAGTGGCCCCACCCTCACTGGCCACACATTTGTAATCAAAGGCAGAGCTGGGTGACAGCCAGTAATGAAATATTTATGCTCATCAAACAGGTGTCAAGACCCTGAGGACTCACCCATGTGGGAGATCTTGGAAATGCCATTCTTCCTCCCTGCCCTCCACGCCCATCCTCTCAGGAGAGGAAAGGGGATGTGGTGAAGAAGAGAGCTCCTTCCAGACCCAGGGCTCAAGGACAGTCACATGGGTTCAAGCCTGTGGGCACCAGGACTGGGAGGGGCAACTACCTCCCCCAGCAGCTGCCAGGTAGGCTGGGCAGAGCAGACGGGGGTCCACATGCAATGATATCCTGGGCAGGCTTTGGCCAGGAGAGGGCCTTGGACTTTTTTTTTTTTTTTTTTGAGACAGAGCCTCAAGCTGTCCCCCCTAGGTAGAGTGCCATGGCATCACAGCTCATAGCAACCTCCAACTCCTGGGCTCAAGCGAGTCTCCTGCCTCCGCCTCCCAAGTAGCTGGGACTACAGGCGCCCGCCACAACGCCTGGCTATTTTTTGGTTGCAGCCGTCATTGTTTGGCGGGTCCGGGCTGGGGATTCGAACCCGCCACCTTAGGTGTACATGGCTGGCGCCTTAGCCGGTTGAGCTATAGGCGCCGAGCCGAGGGCCTTGGACTTTCATCAGTTCCCTTGACCTGAACTTGGTCCTATGAATTATGTTTTACCCACTCCCCCTAGCACATTAAAACAATAATATTTAAGGAAAAAAATACCGTGGGGACTATAATATGAGAGGCAGAGGTTGACTCCGCCCAGGGAATGTGTGTGAAAGTCCTTCCAAGAGCTCAGATGCAGACTAGCAATGGGCTGCCACCCTGGTCTCAGCCCTTACTTCCAGGGCCCAACCCCTTGCCTGCCCCTGAGCCAGTGGGGCCCTGTGTCACCTGTGCATGGAGGCCCCAGACGACACAACTGTGGCTGCTGACTTCATTCTGCCTTCTCCCTTCCTTCCTCCCTCCCTCTCCAGCCCAGCCACCACCTGCAGTGACGGCCTTGTCACCACTAACAAAGTAGGAACCTACCTTGTTGTGCTGACTGCTCTATATGACAAGCAGCCCCATGGGATTGAGTCCTCAGGTGCAGGGAGTGGGGATGCTGGGCTAGCCCCACCATAAACTCAGAGATCTGGAGGCTCCTGCAAGGACACTCAGAGGCACCAGCTGTCCCAAGGACAACACTGAGCTCTTCTTGTCCACTGCTGCAGCCTGGCTGCCCACTCTGTCAAGGCACTGCCCAGTAGTAAGGTGCCTCCCAGTGGGCAGTTTATCTCAGTGACTTTCACCACGTCACGGTATGTGACTGTGGCCAAACACCTGCACCCCACTGCCTCAGTTTCAACATCTATGTGACTGGAATGGCTAACATCTGTGGGATACCTGGTCTGTCTCTGACCCTATTTGAACACTTTACTTGTATTAACTAAACCACAAACTCCTTCCAGTGACCCTGTGTGAGGTAAGTACCCATTTTACAGATGTTAACAGAAACCCAGTGATGTCACTGGTCCAGAGCCAACACCCTACTGCTCCTATTTCATACTGTACAGACTCCTGCAGCTTATGGTAAGTGACATTGACTATTAGTTTGCTGGTAACATTACTTGAGTATCCAAGTACCCCGGGGATCTAGGACCCCTCCTTCTCTAACTAGGGACTCAAATGGCAACACCTGAACATGTGCCATCCCCTGCCTTAACCCCTGCTTGTAGCATGACATGAGGAATGGGAATGGAGGGGTCCTGCTACAATGTCTACACCCTGACCCCCACCACCATCCATCATGAACCCTCTCTGAGCTGCCATCAAACCCACCTCTACTGAGTGCCAGCTCAGGGCATACACTGGCCTCACAGTGCTGGATTAGACTGGATAGGCAAGGAGGTTGCATCGCAAAAGGGATGAATAGAGGGGG